AAAGGTAAAATCTGTCAGAGCCATGTTTGCCATCCTTGGGCCTGCTAGAGCCCTTCAGCCATCAACCCTCAACAGCACCTCAGCTGGGATGGAGCCTTGTCAACTGTTGCGGGAGATATTTAAAACAGTGGCTGGCGAAGCCAACTGAGCTGTTGCTGCTCTGCCTAGTTCAGCTGCCACGTTGCACGCCAGAGGCCACATGCATGCCACAGCTAGAAACGGCCAGCCAGAAGCACCAGCCCTGCCACCCACAAGACACCAGTGTGGGAGATGGTTCTGCCAATCTTCCACATGGTTAGGCTGAGCCCTGACCATCTTGCCATCCATGTGGTACCCAGTATGAATGAAACTCTAATGCTTAAAGATTAATCAAAGGCTTTTATATGTTTGGTAATGCTCAATAACAATATGCCCATACAATCAGAGGTGTTTCCCAATTAGCTAACCTAAATATAAGTTGTTACCCAGGACTGCTCTCCATACCTGTGTGGCTCTTCATCGCTCCTACCTCTCTGCTCTCGCCACGCTTCTCCTCTCCCTTTTCCTCTTCCTCTCCTTACTCCTCCACCTTAGCTCCTCCTACAGTGAACCCCTTCTTGCTCCTTGCTGGCCTGCTGACTGGCTAGATTGTGCACAGGCAGCCAGAGCTGCTGTAAGTTCATGAGTGCAGTGGTCCTGCCACATCCAGAAGATGCTGGTATGCTCAGGTCTTCCCAAATCTCTAGCTCTTACTATCCCTTGGCTTTCTCTCCCAAAATGGCCCTGATCCTTGGGAAGCGAGTGTGATATGTTCCGTCTGGGCCTGAGTAATCTACATACTTATTCTCTGTATTTTGACCAGTTTTGTGAGTTTCTGCATTAATCCTTGTCCATTGAAATTTCTGGTGAGTTCTGAGATCTGTACTAATCTATAGATATAGCATAAGAAGTTAGAGGGCAGTTTGACACGTAGCAAAAAAATGCTAGTAGGTTCATCCCTTTGGTTTTAATCTTTAATCTTCGGCTAGAACTATAGTATCCCCTGTGGAGTGGTTCTTAAATACAATCAGAAAGTGGTTGGCCACCCCAATAAAAATTGTGGTAGAATTGCACCCATGGCTGTATCTTGCCAGGCCTGTCATTATTGTATGTCACAGGCATCACGAATGGGTAAAACTGTTGATGATATTCCTTCAGCTGCCTTCCTAGCACCTTCCAGTACTATGAAAAGGTTTCCAGGAAACCTCCTGTTCAGTACCACCTTGAATCCTGTAAGTCCCTTGATCAAGTGTATGGTGTCTTCAGCAACAGCATCATGCCATCTGGTTCTGTTGGGCAAACAGAACTAGAACTGTTGTTGGGTTCTGTTGCACTGGCAACAGTTCTGCACTGTTTGGGGGTATCCAGGACCCTCTGACAAACAGCTTGAAGGAAGGATTTTCACATGTGGCAGCTAAGTTTGTAACCCTATGACTTCTGGGAGGTACATTATCCCTTATGTAGGGTAACTCCAATCAAATCCTTTATATCAACAATGCATATGTATGTGTATTTGGAAATGTTTATGAAATTACATAATTACAGAATTATTTCTGTGTGTACAGTGATGTGTGCATGGGGGGTTCATGCTGTAATGTGCCTGTGGTGCTCACAGTGTTAAGTAGGGAATTTTGCTATTCAGGTAACAGTCCCCATGACCGGACAGCTTGCTGAACTTGGTGAATGGGCACTCCTCTTCTTAGCAGTGCTCCATCTCTGCCTTTGTCTGGAGTGTCCCTGAAAACAGGTGGCTGGCCTTGTTTGAAAAGTCACTCAGCACACAAGTCCCACTTTGGCTTTCTGCCTGCATGATAATTCAGTGTTGTATTATAACCAATCAGCCCTTCCTGTTCACTTGATGTTATTATCAATTAACCCTTTCCACCCATACCCGTAAAAAAACCCCTCATATAGGCTATCCCCCAAACAGAGAAGTAGACCCATTTCATTGCAGCAGTCAGCAGGGGTCATTCCATCTATATTCAGGGCTGCCTGAACCCTGCTCTGTCTCTGCTCCCTTCATCCTCTTAGGCTGGTGGCCAACAGCCTCCAGGGAGAAAGGCAGGACCCACATCAGAGGACAACTTTGAGGAGTTGGTTCTTTCCATTCAACACAAATTTCACAAATGTAACCCAAGTTGCCAGGTTATGTGAGTATAATTTAATGCATTTTAAAAAGAGAATTAGACAGAACTACTTATTGGTAAGGCTAGTTCACTTACTATACTAATTTTCTGACTCACTCATTTGCCTGCAAATTTCCTTTTTCCTTACAGCCAATGTGTATACGTGTACACTGCCGTTCTTTTACTTGCTTACAGACATCCAGGCTGACTCAGCTTCCTTGCTGTTATGAATAGCAACAATGGCTATTTCTCCAAGAAATTTTTCTATTTCAAAATATTTTAAAATAAAAAGTAGTATTTACGAACATATAGTTAAAAAAAAGTATTTGGATAAGCTAGAAACTAAAATACTGCTCTAAAACCCTGTAAGCCCTGCCCTTAGAGGATTGCAGGTGTCTCATGTGCATCATCAGGTGACAGAGAAAAGAGGCCATGACTATCTTCAGTGTTATGACCTATGAACAACTGAATGATTAGAAGTCTAACACTCCCTGGGGGAAAAAAAAGAGGAGGGGGACCTGAGATACTACCAGTCCAGTCCAGCACCTTGCAAGCAAGCCAGAGACTATAAGAAACTCGCCTTGGCCCCAGTAGGAGTGAGCCCAAGACAGATAACCCTTGAAGGGGACTCAGGCAAGGAGCCAGCTTGAGATAACCACCAGTTCAGTGCCATGGGGCAACCCCTCCCCCAACACACACACACACACACACACACACACACACACACATGCACACACGCACACTGTAGCCTGGATGGGAGAACTGGCCTCACTATTTTGTCTGCCATGTGGTGACATCTGAGAGAGAGAGATGCACAGCCTCTCTGCAATGCTTGCCCCTTGCCATCTACAGCAGGCAAGAGAGCTGGCCCCAGGACATCAGAGTGGGAGAGCTGATGCTGCCCCTCATCTGCTGCAGCACTTGAGAGCAGGTCCTGCATCTACCTGGGCAACACCACAGAGCTGGCTCTGGGTGTGGAGGTTGAAAGTGAGTCAGCCCCAAGGGTGTGAGCAGGGGAGAGTTGGCCCTGCCTTGTCTGCTAGGCAGAGGTGTGGAGAAGGGAGAAATTCCGTTCTCCCTTCTCTCATCCCATGCCATCTATGGCAGTCAGGAGAGTAGAACTGGGCATGTCCCTCACCAGCTGTTAACACTCAGCAGAGGGGGCCCTGCACCTCTCCTGGGCAGCAGGGTGGAGCTGGTCCTGGTTGTGGGTGTGGCAGGAGAGCCTGTGGGCTGGGCAGCTCAGATACCTCTCCAGGACTTTGAACTGGCCCACCACATCTTCCCCATCATGAACTGCTGGAGTGCATGAAAGGGCCAGCCCTCAGAAACAAAGCTGCAGGACCTCCATGACACAGGGCAACAACAGGATACCCCAGAGAAGTCCCAGTGAGGATCCAGTATTGATAGAGTAGTAGAAGCCTGAGCCTTAATCGGATCAACAAGTCAATGCAATGAACACTTGCAAGCAAAGACATTCGGACAAAGGGGTATACTGTGGGGTACACGGTGACACACCAGTTTCCACAATGAGGTTTTTTCTTCTCTGTTGCTGGAGAGGTTTCAAGGGACTGGTGGGGGGGGGGATATGTGGGACTGGGGTACATGATATGAAATTCATGAAGAACCAATAAAGTTATTTTTTTAAAACTCTCTAATCAACAAAAGAAAGTTAAATATTACCACACAAAAAAACTATACCACATGATAGCTCGAAACCATGAGTGGCCTTTTATGGCTATTTTACACTAGAAAGGGGTTCTATACGATGTGACAATGTAAACAATGGTGTAAGTATTTAATCAACCGCAGTTAAATGCTTAAAGAAAAGCAGTAACAGAAAATACATTATGATTCTAAAATCAAATGTAGGAATAACAATGAAATACTGAATATTAGTCCTTGAAATTAGCTTTAATTCATTTTTCCACAGCTTTATAACGTTGATGTGTTTCAAAGTGCCTTGCTTTAAGAACGTTGTTTATCACCAATATTAAAGGAGAAGGTAAAGGACGCCAAGTTTGGTATAAAATAACCTACATGTGTGCATTCTAAATGCAAACAAGAATCAACGGAATGAATATTAAAGACATTTTTTTTACTACCCTGATTTGCAGAAAACTCAGGGTCCTGAAAGCCAGAATTGGCAAAAGAATCCAAAGGTCATTGCTTGAATTTGGGCTGGAGCAAAGGCTAAACACACTGTGAGTGATTTCAGTATACAAATCTTAAGTGAATACATTCTCTAAACCAAAAACAGGCCACATAATCTAAATGGGGAAGGAAATAACCTTGTGAATCAGATGACACCCCCAGAAAGCAGGTGGATGGCAGGGGCCATGTCTAATACAGGCAGATGGCAGCAGCCTAGCCAGGAGAAGACAGAAGGACGTGGGCACTGAGCTGCACAGTGCCTTCTCTGGCGCACACATAGCTGCCTTGGGGTCAGGCTGCACACGCTGGATCAGCTTACCAGGAGGATCAGGGAGAAACATCCAGAAAAGCCTTTGTGTTCAGGTCTGTGCAAGTGTTAGACCTCCTCAGGCTCCATCAGAATGCTGAGTTCTGAGCCCTCCTACCCTAAGGTTTCTGATTGAATAACTGTCAGTGATTATAATGTTTCACCACAAATGGAAAAATCCAGGTTACAGTTCTGTCTAAGAGAATAACCTCTGACATACAATTTAATTAAAGAATATTACCAATTCATAGGATTTCACAAAATAATACAATGAGCCTGCTGGCTGAGAAAAAAAACACATACAAAATTAATTATACTGCCACATATCTCTGTACAATAAATGTTTACATCTGAAGAAAATTTATTGAGACAAGATCTCACTATGCAATTCTGGCTGGCCTGGAACTTTCTACATAAACCAGGCTAATCTCAAATTTAGAGATTTGCATGCCTCTGCTCCCAAGTACTGATAATTAAAGGCATGTACCACCATACCCACTGGAATATTTAAAATCACAATCCAAAGTGAGTGACATATAGGTTATTTAAATATATAAATTACACTTTGAAAAAAATAGGTAACTCTGCTTTTAAGTTTTAAAACCTGAAATTTAAAAACTATGTTTCATATTAATAATATGAAAAAATAAGACACTGATTTTTGTTTTATTTCAAGTCATTTCTTTTCATCATGAGCAAAAAAAAAACTGCGTGAGTAATAAAATATCATCAGCATTATTTTCCCCAACTTTTCCATTAATGTGTTTTTAAATGCAACCATATAACTGAGCATTCTGAGCTTTACAAATATATCCATTAGCAGTCAAAGTCTTACAAACATTCATATTATGCTTCATCAATAGGATCTGAAATGGAACTGGCAAGACAGAGTACAAGAACATGTAGACTTCACCAAGACTTGGTCTGAAGAATTCTGGGATTTAAAAAGAAAAGAAAGAAAATTTGCTTTTTCATATTATTTGTAAAATGGCTACAAAGGTTTTATTGTAAGAGGCAACCTCCAAAAAGTACCCCATTATATCATGCAAATATAAAAAAGTAACAGTCTGTGCCAGGTGATAGTGAGGCATCCTTTAATCCCAGCACTTGGGAAGCAGAGGCAGGTGGATCTCTAAATTCAAGGCCAGCCTGGTCTACAGAGGGAATTAAAGGACAGCCAGGGCTACACAGAGAAACTATGTCTCATAAACAAAGAAACAAACAAATACTGGTTTGTAAGTAACTGTTAAATAAGTAAGAATCAGGGTATTAACTTTCCTTATGGACCAAGTCAGAGGTTTCTTTCAGGTTAAAAGCAGATGGAGGGTTTACTGGAAAGTTACGCCCCTAACTTAAGAACTTCAGTGTCTCTAGATAAAAAAGGAGGGAAAGCCAATGGATGATCAAAACTGTAGCTTTAAATTTCTTTGTTTTTATTTCTTATTCTTTTCAAGATGGGATTTCATTGTGTATAGATGGCTGGCCTGGAACTCACAGACATCTACCCACCTCTGCCTCCCAAGAGAGGGATTAAATTGTTGCCGAACCACACCCAGCTAATACAAGTATAATTTTGCAATGTGCTGTTCTGGTGAGAACTCTTGACTCACTGCCTCATCTGTAAGAGGTTTCTTTGGTTCCTTACTTAAGTCTCACAGTCCATGATCACTGTGCCGACAGCTTTTGATTCAGTTCCAACATTCTTTTATCACCGTGACTCTCAGCATTCCTCACCAACACCTGTGTGAAATCATAGACAAGTTGGGGATGCCATTTTTAAAGCGTAATCCTGACTACATGATGCACCTGTTCATTTCTGCTGTCATGATCTGCTCAGCTAAAGTCAGCATGTGAGCACTGTGTATTAGTAAAACTACAATACCGCAACTGTTCTAATGATCAGTTGTGCACAAAATCAAGGGCATTGCTTACACCTCTGTCACCCAGAACCCTGACCCCCACATGCCAGCTTTTTGCAGGGCTGTCTAAACAGCAGTGCCTGTTCAAAGCCATGGTGTAAGATCTAAGGTCTAGGTTTCAGGTTTTGTCAGGAAGCTTGTCTTAGTTCCACCAACTCTACCTGATTATTCAGTACTTTTCTGTTTGTCTGTTGTCAAGCACTACAAGAAGTGCTCTACTAACAAACTCATAAGATAGTGCGAATCAATTTCAAGATTCTGCCTGATGACACAGAACTCTCTGGTCAGACGACTGACCGCATTTGTAATGGTATAGCCAGTGGCACTGGGTGAGCTAGCTGGGACAGTGTTGGAGAGCTTGCCCTGGTGGTGTGGGTACAGGAGAGCTGGCGGGCTGACCAGCTCAGCTACCATGCAGGCCCAGATCCAGGGCTCTGAGTTGTCCCACCCAACATCTACCTCATCTATGAAATGCTGAAGCATGTGAGGGGCCAGTATTGATAGTACAGCAGAAGCCAGAGGCCAAGAACCAGAACAGAGACTCATAGCAATAACAATTTGCAAGTGAAGAATTGTGGACGAAAGGGTCCACACTGTGGGACACAGTGACACACTATAGTTTACACACTGTGGGACACAGTGACACACTATAGTTTACACACTGTGGGACACAGTGACACACTATAGTTTACACACTGTGGGACACAGTGACACACTATAGTTTCCACACTGTGGGACACAGTGACACACTATAGTTTCCATGATGATATTCGTTTGTTTGTTTTGGGGGGTTTTCTTTTTTTAGGGAGGAAAGTTGCAGGGATGGAGGGTAGGGACAGGGATATGTGTGGGATTGGATTATATGATGTGAAACTCATAAAGAATCAATAAAAAGTTGAATAAAATAAGAAAAAGAAAGCCCATAAAACTATGCCGATAAATAGACATGTATGTGAAGATAACTTTTCACTGGCTGTATTTTAGCACAGAAAATAAAAAAAAAAAATCTAAACTTGTCACCTATGGTTACCATGCAATTATTTATTTTCTTTAAATGACTAAGAAAAAGTTTATTCTAGAGCAAAATAGCAGTAGCCATGCAAGGGAACACAGATTTAGGTTACCTTAAATTTCATGCTCCAATATGGCTAACAATTTCATGATATTTTTACAGTAACAGAACAACGAAAGTCATACATCAAAACACTTTTAAAGTACACTGCTGGAAGTCTATTTACTATTCCATGTGTGGGGTGGGATGATTGTAAAGTACACTGAAGGAAGTCTATGTACTGCTCCATGTGTGGGGTGGGATGACTTTGGATCCACCACAAGAATCTGCTTTCCCTTGCACCACGGGTAGCAGGGATCAAAGTCAGGCTTTCACAGAGACCCAGAGCAGCTCGCTAGCGCCTCCTGCAGGTCTTTAAACACAGATCACAACTGGCCTTGACAGAAGAGTTTTAAAGCAATGCCTTTTGCCATCAGAGTTAGACATTAGTTTGGACTTTGGACTCCAAGATAGCTATTCTCAAAGAAAACTTCATATGACTTCCTGTTTAATCTACACTGAACTAGTTTTAAACATAGCTTAATATCTTAGTTTTTCATGCCAAAAAATTTCAACTTTCAAAACGGGAATTTTAAAACAAATGCATGTAAAACACTAACTACAGTTTTACCTTCAAACCATGTATATAATAACTCTTTCTGTACTACCGATGCAACATTAATTGTAGTATTTTTGCCAACAAACTTGATATTCATCTTTTAAAATTTCAATAATAATACAGTAAGTTTGAAAAGATAACTAATTTGAAGTAAAGTTAACAGCTTACATCAATTAGCTCATGGTCATCTTTTGCATAGAGGTGTCTTAAGAGGTACCAACGAGCAGTTGATACAATTGAGCTGGGGTATCCAGTCTGGTACACTACTCTCTCCAAAAGCCGCCGTGTCTCTCTAGAAGAAAGACATGTACAATTACTTCACGCGTTTAAATTATTACGGCAGATTTTATGTACTAGTCTCATACACACATTACCTTTCTCATTTGTTTAAATATCTTAACTGATTACTTTATGATGTTTACTCTGATAAGAACAGTAACAGCTATTATTTATTAAATGTTTACTATGACTCTGCACAAAGCACTATGGTATTTAGTCATACTTAGTATCACATTTAGTCATACTTAATATCACAATCTTATTGCTGCTTTTATTCCTACTGCAGACATGCAAATTGAAGTTCATTCAAAATACAGTCAGAAGACTCCAAATTATACAAACGTCTCTGGGTGTTCAACTGTGATCTTTTTGACAAAAAATTTTGCAGAAAAATCAGCCAGGACCATACCTGAAGGTCAGATCTAAAGAGGAGAGAAGGTAGAAGGCCACAGGTCCAGGACCATGCCTGCGGCTCAGATCTAAGGAGAGAAGGTAGGAGGCCACAGGTCCAGGACCA